TCCCGGCCCAAGGGCTCTTGGAAGGCACACGAGCCTCCTCCTGAGCGATGCTTCTGACGGCCCACGCCGCGTGCCCGCTGCTCTGCCTCTGGCACCCTCGCTGCTGCCTGTCACCCTGCCCACCCGGACACCCACATCTGCCCCAGCTTCGGGCACCGCCTGCGTGCAGGGCACCCGGGGCTGCTGCAGCCCAAAGCCAGGCTCTCTGCAGCTTGGCAGCCCCGGTGCCTGCTCCCGCCAGCCAGGCGGGCTGCAGGAATGTTCTCCAGCCTGAAGGGACTCCCGGGGTGCAGTGGGTTGTTGCAGTCACGGGCTCTTCGTGAGGACGAGGTATTTTCTTTCCAAGAGCCCTGCTCGCTAACTGCCATGGCAGAGCAGAGCTGCATCAGCCTGGGCAGAGGTGGAGAGCAGAGGAGGCTGGATGGCATCCCAAAGGCTGCCGCTGGCAAAGGAGCTGTACAAGGTGCCTGGAAGTCTGCTCCTCCCAGGATCTCAGTACCTGTCTTTCATCTGATAGACAAAGTCCTCTTCAACCCAGGTCCCAGCTGAGCCATCCGGAGGCTGGTAGCGCAGATCCAACTCAATGTAGATCTACAAACAGAAAACGAGACTGCCTGAGAGGTCGGCAGCCATGAAACAACTGCAGAAGTGTCCCGGAAAAGGAGAAGAGGAGTGTGGAAGGAAAAAAAAGAAGTGCGATGCTGGTAAAAAGAAGGGGAAGGAAGGGGGTCACAACCCCACAAGAAGCCTGTTCATACCAGACTCTTCTTGTCTTCCTCCATCAACAAGCTAGAGTTCACCAAACTCCCTCCCCTAGGGCTTCCCAAACTCCAGGATTCACTGAATAAAAGCCGGCTCAAGTTTCCAGACCTAAAACACGCTACGGAGCAGCCTCTGAGAGCCGTCCTGGGGCACTTCTGACAAGGAAAGCGGGGAGAGCCCTGCAGCGGAGCACACTGCCGTGCAGGGGTTTGGAGCCGTCCCCACGCGGGAGGCACCAGGCCGGTGTTGGGGTGAAGGTTGGACCTGATGACCTTAGAGGGCTTTTCCAACCTGAGTGATTCTGTGATTCTACAATCTCCCCGTGGAGTTGTGCGGCTTCCTGCAGCAGCTGCAGCCCTCCTCCAGCCTGCACTCACCTGAGGACGGTGCCTCAGTTCTGGGGGAACCCCAAGAAGGACCCTTAGCCCAAGCTGGAGCCCTGCCTCCCACAGAGGAGGGAGCTCTGTCAGGTAGCGTGCCACAGCCTGGCATGAAATGTCACCGGTATTTATCGCCAGGTGTGCCAGAAGCAAGAGGAACGCTCCCCGATGAGCTCCCACACGCAAGCGCTTTTGATTTATACAGAGCCCCGAGGCTCAAATACCTTTGGGGACCGCAAGTACGAGGGTGCTTGCTCAACCTCGGCCAAGGCCAGGGGAAGGAGACTTCTGGGGTGTTCCCCAGGCTTACCGTGGAAATAAAGCAGGAGGGTGACCTGGGACGACAGCGAGCGCACACTCCCACTGGGCGAGAACAGCACGTTCCTCTGAGGAAGAAAACCCGAGCTCAAAGCTGAGCTAAAGCAACAGCAATGCCACAAATCTGCATTCCAGCTACACCCAGGGTGGCACGCGGCAGGAGACACCTCCCAGCCTCTCGCCAAAGCGCTCGGCAGCCATCGTCACTGCCTCTAAAACCAGGAGCCCTGGGGAGGGTCAAGAACAAGAGAAAACGAGCAAAACTGTGCCATCCCAGCACAGCAGCTGCCAAGCGAGACCCTGCCCTGGCTCTTCACCTGGGCCCACGCCCACGCAGCTCTTGCTCTCAAGTGACAGCCACCAGACCCGGGTCCCTTTGCCTCTTCACATCTCTGCAGCTTACTTGCAGGTAAACGGCATCGCCTCCAGATTTTCCTCTTTTTCCATAGGGGGAAGAACTTCCTCAGAGCTGCCTCTGCCACGTCTTGGCCTCTTCCTCCCCTGAACAGGGCAGGTCTCTCCCACCATCACCAGGTCCTGCGCCTGGACACACCTCGGCAGAACGGGCAGCGACTCCAGTCCTCACAGCCAGCGCAGGGACGGAGGATTCACCCTCCTCCTTCAGAGCAGGCAGAGGTTTGAGAGGAGAGGTGAAACGAATCTCCCACTACGCATTCTGCTGTCTCAAGAGTCATCTTCTGCCCCTCAAGGCTGGAGCAAAGGAAAGTCCCAATGTGCTTCTGACGTCTCGCCGAAGAAACCATTCACTGAAGCCAAGGACTACACACTACCAACCAGTACTTCTTGGTCCAAACAAGGCATTGGTGAGCCCTCACAACTACTGCTGTAAACATCCTTTAAAGAACACTGTATTAAAAAGAAAAAAAAAAAAGGATACACACACACACACACAGACAAGAGCAGCCTTAGGTTTGCTTGTACACATAATACAGGCAAGGAGAGCTCTGCCTACAGGTCGTAAGCGGCTGAAAACGTGAGTAAAGGATGCTCTCAACCACAGTGCAGTTTCTCAGAGAAGATCTGGCAGTTTTCCTCCTGCTCTTCCACACTTGCAACACATTTTAGTTTCGGCAGCCACTCAAGGAGAGCAGTGACTTGGCTTCCTTCAAGAATCTAATTAAGCACACGAAAACTGGGTGCTGTAGGCCAGAGCTGCCCAGGGAGGCTGTGGAGTCTCCTTCTCTGGAGATATTCCAGCCCTGCCTGGACACGGTGCTGTGCAGCCTGCTCTGGGTGACCCTGCTTGGGCAGGGGGTTGGGCTGGGGGACCCAGAGAGGGCCCTTGCAACCCTGAACATTCTGTGATTCTGTGAAAAGACCTTCAAACCACCAGGAGAAAAAAGGGGTGCCAACAACTCAAGTCCCAGAGAAGAACAGGGCTTGGAATAGTAGGAAGGGCTTTGCTAAAGCAGCCATGGTTGAAATGGCCTCTTTGCCTTGGGGACGTGTCTCTTCCCAGCTGAGCTGAGGGAGAAGGTCTCAGGCTGCTCTTGGACGGGCGTCCAGTCTCGCCTGCGCTCTTTCTGTCCCCACCGCCCTTGCGCAGCCAGGACTGCTCAATCAAGAGCCAACCTGCCATAGCTGAACGCGGCTGGTTTTTGGTGGG